TGACCAGGAGGTTAAACTCATACAAATTAGCTTCACCCAGGCTCATGAAAACATTTTCCTGCTTACAGATAGCAGATCATTTGTGTCAGTAAGGTTTATATTTGAGCTTCTTGTTCACACAGAACAATTTTTCTTCATTTTCTAATGATTACCAAAGTCTGTGAATCCCAAAATTGTTCAGTTGTTCGTTTTGCTCCCCCTGAGGTCCCTTTCACCATGTGACAAAAACAACACCCCACTGTACACATTCGGGCCACCAGCAGCTTTCTAAATCCTCAATAAAAAGCTGACAGGTTGCAATGATGTTCCAAATAACTTATTAAAAAAACAACTAAAGAGACAGAAACTATTATGAAAACTGGTTTATTTTAAATGTCCTAGTTTGAAATGAAGCAATAAAAACATGTATAAAACATCACAAACTGTAATATTATACAAATGCTTACGTCCTGTCCTGCTGATGCAATAGAGACATCTTCCAGTGACAGTCTTCATCCGTGTGTGTGTGAGGAGGCTCCTAAACCCACCGATACAGAAGTGTATGTTCACAACTCCCTCTGTGCAGGCGGGGTCAGGACCCTCCTCACCCTGGGTGAAGAAGGGTGGTGCTGTGGCCAGTCAGGTATGAAGTGCTGAGAGTGGATCTTTGGTCCTCTGTGCAGCTCTGTCCACTCTCAGCTGCCCTGCAAAGTAATAACACAAGAAAGACGTCATTTTAACACAAAACAGCATTTCCATTGTTGGCAGCTGCAGCATGTTGTTAAAATGCTATTTTAAACTCAACATATACACACAATAACTATAAATAAACTTAGACCTACAGTACTGTAGGACGATGATTTATACCAGCTTTTGGAAGGATTTAGTCTTCAAGACAGTTTGTAGCCAATGTGAGGTGATAACTTACATAGCTGGAACACAGCACCACTCTCCAGTTTGTAATTTGGTCATCCATCCTTCTCATCGGGTTGGGGTAAGGCTGTCTTCTGGGTAGAGCATCTCTCTGTGTTAGCGCCGTCTGGAATGCTGGGAGAGGACAAGTGTAAAGCACCTGAAGACAAAAAGACAAAGACAAAAGGATGAATTCACAGATCACTGATTTGTTCGATTTACTTTTCTTCTGTTATGTGTTTTTACCTTACCTCTGATCCCTTAGCCACAGGCTATACCTTATGTATAAACAAGAGACTACAGTCAGTTCACGACATCATTTTTGAACCTTTTCTACTCATTTGTGTTGACATTAAGTACGGACTTACCTTTGTCCTGCATGGTGAGCTAGCGCTTGAGAAAAAATATGTAAGTCATTTAAACAGTTACCTGTGATATTAACAAAAATAGAAGTAACAACACCTAAAACACTACCTTACAGTCACACAGGCAATGCCACATATTAAGAAAAAAACAATACATTTCACATGTGTTAGTTACTATTCTTTAAAAGCCAGATATTCTTAGTTAGCTGTGTTACAAACATCACAAGACACAAAGGCTTAAGTTAAACATTACAAAGTTATTTAAAAAGTAAAGGATATTTACAAGAAGCTGTCCTCAAAGCAAGAAAGTGTTTTATAAACACTGCAAGACGCAAAGGCCAACTTAAACGTTTAAAGTTTAAAAACAAGTTCTAACATTACCAAGTCAGAGTCACTGTCATCAAGTGAAAGGTTAAAAGGCCTTTCCCAGCAGCGTCTGACACCAAAAGAACCTGATGATGTAGAAGGGCCACAGAACGTGCCATCACTTACCTTGCACCTCTTTGC